TCATTTTTATTAGTGCCAGTATTAACATATAAAATAAATGAAAAAATTAAACTGAAAATATTTTCATGAACCAAATTTTTCAATCGTATATATATATATATATATTATATAAAAAATTATATCATAAAAAAACATAAATTAATTAGTAATTTATGATATATATTTTAAAGATTTATAAATAAATATGTGACGATTTTAACGATCTAGTAATAAACTTCGTGTTCTAATATTTAAATACATAAGAGATATTCACTCTGTCTTGCAAACTCATTGCAAAGTGCACGAAATACACAGACTGCTTAAGTTTGCAATATACAACAGTAAAATATACGCACAAAGTTTCTTGCAATTGCTTGCAATCTTGCTATATCTAAACCCATGTATGTATGCTATGTGTACCTATATGCTTGCAACGAAACAAAAAAGGAAAAAACACAGCTGTTTAGAAATCTACTGCTTCTCACTTCGATGTGGTATGTTGCAAAAACAGCTGTTGCATTATGATGTTGCCATTCTGCAATAGAGGTGTACTTGCATTCGTGCACCTAGCAATGACTTTGCAAAATACAGTGAATATCCGTATATTATTCTAATAAAATTTATAGATTTTTAACAAAATCATTCCGTTTTACTGCTAATTTTACTTGTAAATTTCCTTTATATATGATTTATTGATGATATCAGTACTCTTATCTCCCCCGAGTGGGCTTTTTTAGGTACAAAATCTCAAGTGCGCTTTTTTGGGTATAAAGCCACTTCTCCAACCTAACTTAATCGAACTGTTAGAATTCAAACGACGTTCATAATAAGCTTTTGTTTTAGCAAAATTTCTGCAGACTACGAAGTCGTTGGACGGGACGGGAGAAGAGCAAAACGTCTTTTAGATCTTATAAAAACTGTATTAAAAAAATTTTATTTGTGTTTTTAATGAAGCACTACTATGATATTATGCTATTAGCTTATGTATAAAAATATCTTATTTCACCAAGTGCACCAAGCGGCTGGAATCATCATGACGAAGAGAAAGTGGAATCTATCAATTATTTACCACGTTTATAAATTTTGTCCAAGATTATGTACGAAGGTACATATAATACATAGTAGTTCCTGTTTGCACTGACTTGATCAACTATTAATCTATCTAATGTTTTTAATATACTTTATAAAACTCAGTTATATTTATCGGATCTCTTTTACTTTATCTGAAAGATCAGGGCTTTAGACAACGGGGCTTTAATGACTAGAAGTTCATTTCGACACTAGTCTTGCAAACACAATCATAGCAAAGTTATCAGTTCTCTATAACTTTATTTGGAACAATAAAACTGCAAACCAAACTGGTTTCACTGACCTGACAAGGACAACTCATGTCTAATGTTGAATAATTGAATCTCATAAAATTATCTGGAAAACCTGGACCATAAACTAAGGGACTTCAATATATTGGAGATCATTTTTTTGCTGACCTAATAGAAATAAAAAAGATGAACTTATCAAGTTTCCTTAATTTCATCTGTAAGAACTGCAGACAGAAAAGGATCAATGTCAAATGACAACTCGAAATCGAAGATAGATTTCGAGCCTAATTAACTTCAACTGAAAAATCAGAACAGTCTGCAATCTCCTATAGAAATCTGTGTATATAAATACACATTGTGTAATAATATGTCTACAATCTCCTGACTCCATTGAGTAAATAAACATCTTCATATGGAAATGTTGATGTTGGTGTGAATATCCATCTCTCAATCTAACTATATTTGCTTTGGTTGGGTGTACACAATTAATTTTTTTGTAGAGTATTTATGGGCCCACGAACAATATTATAGTCTTCACGACACACAACATAAAATAATTTTTATGTTGAGATATTTAAAACACAATATCTCCTATTTTTAGAGGATACATTTCGCCATCTAACAACGATTGCTTTATTCATCTAATAAATAAAATAACTTCACTAGATGAATTTATCTTTAAAGCAAATACAAAAAATAGTTAGTTCTTTTTTTTTATTAATTTATTTATTAATTTTTATTATTGATTAATTTATATACATATTACACCTATGTTAAGTTATAAAACACTATATAGTATATAATGTATGGCATAGCTTCAATCGTCTGTCACTACAAAGGGATATTAAAATATTTATATATTTATTAAATATTGAAATATTTATAAATAGTATAATATTTATAAAATATAAAAATATTTAAAGAGATATTTAAATAAAATAAACTATTTAATTTACAATTGATTTATAATATTTAATAAATTATAAAAAAATCAAAAATTTCAGAAGCGTGGACTTTCCACCCTCAACCCAGTTTCATTTGGATTGATTCAATTTTTAAAATAATTTTCTCATTAATTAATTTCAATAATTTAATATTTTAATTAAGCATTCGTTAATAAACGATTTCTGTGAATATTTAACAAATTCACATAATAAAAATTATATTAATAATATTTTTTTTCTTCAAATTTATGCTTAAAGTGGCACCAATTAATATTTAAAGTTTTTTTTTGCAATTTTTTTTCTTATATAAAATTTGTTTATTCATTTAAGCATTTAAAAATGTTATTAGTTATGCTTTTGCCACACACGCTCACAAGCACGCATACTCCGACAAAGAGAAGAGTGAAGTACTTGAAAAATGCTTCCAGCAAATTTATTTAAAAATTCCATAAAAATTTAATAGCAATATTAAATAAATTCATAAATTCATATTGACCGACTGACTGACCTTTCGACGTTAAGTTGAGATATTTATTTTTTTCTTTTCTTCTTCTTCTTCCTCTCTGGGTTACTCTGTCGAGTGTAGTGTTTTTATTTGCCATTGTTTAATAAAAACTCTTCACTATCACTATCTTCACGATTTCTATAGTCTTCGAACGTAGTTTGTTTTTCTATATTTTTTTCATCAAATTTTTCTTTTAATTCTTCAAATAATATTATTAAAAATATCTTAACAATACTAACAACGACGAAAACAATAATATTTATAATCGAATAAATATTTTTTAATAAGAATCGAAAATATTAAACAAATGTTTTGCATAATTTCACAGTTCTCTGATTTTCGCCTTCAGTTTTGTTTATATCTTCATAACGATATAATGAAATTCTCGACATTGCCTGGGGATATACAATGCCTATATACACCATTTGGTATTGCGGAAATACAAACATTGCTTTTGATTATCCCCAAAAAAAAAAATCATAAAAATTTCCATAGGCTGCAAATCATTCTTTTAATCTATTAACTTCATCTATAATAAAATAAGAAATTTTATAAATTTTGTATTGTTCCACATTTTGCTATAAATTACTTCTATATAGTTCTTGTCTGGTTATTAATCTCGAAATTTTATCATTGTGCATTGAAGCATATAATTAAAGTCTAATTTTAGTGCATTAGAACAGCACTAAATAATTTTAAATAATAATAATAGCTTTAAATAATTTTTGTAAGCATATAAATATCGAAATTCTTATAGAGTTCAAGTGATTTGTTTCTTGTTTTTAATATAAAAAAATACAATTCAATATAAGAATAATTAGTCCGTGAAGATTCTCCCACCTCTATTATTCGTATTGAATTTTGAATAAAGGAGTTTTCAGATTTAAAAAATCTATTTTGAGTTTATGCTAGATTTTTGATTATAACACTAATTAATTTAAGAACATTCATAAACATTCTGTGTTTGTGGTTAGTATGACAGAAAATTCGAATATATAATATCTTTAGAGTACTACGACAGCGTAGTGGTAGTATCACAGCGGGTCATTGTTTGAACAGAAGTGTGCTGTGGATACAGAGCCGCCACCCCAATCTAACTTTTCTTTCCGACTATAATAAAGTATTTAAATAATATCCAGGAATTAAATTAGTTTAAATAATTAAGTAATAAGCATCAACAACTACAGTGTGAAATTTAACCTACTAAAATCACCTCTTAGAAATGGATGAAGTAGAAAGAAAGCCTGCAGGTGGACATGAAGTATATAAATGGGTGGTTTTATTACGCAGCGCGGGGGCTAGTGGTGGACCCTGGGACCAAGGTCAAGCCTAGATTGTAGAGTGGAATGATGGGTTGATTATCGAAGTATAACGTGAGATATTGGGGGGCTTGAAACACGGGTTTAGTGAGGTCTATGAAAGGTATTCATTTAGAGGTATCCATTTCTAAAAGTAAATATTCCATTGAAATTGAGATTTTGTGCAAATTTTTATTTTAGTGTATTGTTTGGTACTTCACATTAGGCATAAAGTACAACACCACTTAAATGTTCGTTACGGGACATACTACAATAATGAATTTGTTTGAAAAAATTATCTAATCAACTCAGCCATAAATGTCGCCAGTTTGCATTACCTGATCCTGCACGTAATACTGAAAAAATATTTCGCCTTTGTGATGTTCATCACGATGAACATGATGATACAGGTATGTTGTGTTTTTATGACACCAACTTTTTAAAACCACGTTTCTTCCACACCCGAATCTTCATTTACATAAATTGGTAATTATGTTTCCTTCGTCATTTTCAAATAAGTACTGTCCTATTTAGACTAAATGCCAGATCGTTCAATAGCTTCTCTGGATGTAACAATCTTTCGATAGTTACTAGAGGATTTTAATTTTCTCAGAAACAATAACTTTGTTTAATGACATATCCACTAATTAAAAAATGAGCCAACTCATTGAAGAAAACTGCAATCGAAAAATTGTCATACAAGTAAAGTAAGCTTGGAAAATTATAGCACGTTCAGCGGTTGTTAAACGATTCAATATAAAATCGGGAACTTTAAACTAAACATATTCTTTAGGACATGTCATTGAAAGAACAAAACCGCTCAAATATATATATACATCAAATATATATATATACATATATATGTTGTTTATATATTATGTATATAATATTATATTTTATATAATAAAAGTATTTAAAAAATGTGCTTAAACTATTTTCATTTTTTTCATTTCAGAAACTGAAGGGGAACTAACACAGAAACTTAAAACCTTACCTTGGGGTCCTTTATACTGTGTTTTGCAGCAAGATGAACAGTCCTTCACAGCTTATTGCAGTGAGGAAATTTCGGTAAGAATGATTTAATAAGCATTAATTATTTTTAAGTGTAGAAGAATATTTATCTTATATTATAATGTTAATATTTAAAATGCATATAATTACAAAATTATATAAAATATTAAATACATATTTAACAAATATCAAATGACTGTATATAATATAAACAGACTATAAAATATGTTTTTAAGTATATAATAAATTATGTGAGCATTCATTGATATAAAAAACATAATTATAAATATTAATATAACTTATCTGTAAAAAAAATTACCTTCTATAACTATTTATATTTTTAATTATTATACAGAAGCAAATATATTTATCTACAGTATTTACATTTTTTCTAACCCTATAAATATGCAATTAAATTATACAAGTTTATTTTTTATTTAATTTGTAATGAATAGCAGATTATTTCTAGAGGAGGAGTTTAAATTTTTTTTTTAAATATAGGACTTTGTTTAACTTTTATTGCTAACATTTATGAACTGTATTTATGTGAAAATGAATTATTTTTTTAAAACCTTTGGAAGTACTTTCGTAAGTCTATATTTCATATTAAATCATAAAGTAATTATAAATATTATATTATATAGTTATATTTTTTAGTTAAAATACTAATTATTATATCATAATAATTATTATATCATGATTTAAATAATTATATAATAATTTAATATTTATTATTTTATAATTACTTTAATTATGATTATAATTATTATATCAAAGTAACAATAATTTTTATATCAAAGTAAGAATAATTATTATATCATGATTAAAATAATTATAAGAATAATAACATGATTTTATATTTTTTATTATTATAATTATTTTAGTTAAGTAATTCTTATTTCAGAAGTAATAACTAATAAGCCCTTAATATTAAGTAATTGTAATATAGAGCTTAATTAATTTTAGTTATTTACTATAATACCAACATAGTAGGGCACTGTCAAGTTCAAAAAGAAGCTATAATAAATATATTTATATTTGTTTATGTAGTAAATACTATAAGGCACAACATATAAAACGATAATATAGATCTTATATATGTATATATTCTTGTGTTATGTACCCCACATTAAGAATTAAGAATTTAATTCAAATTTGCTTTAATTTAGATTTAATTTCATTGCAAAATTAAATAATAATTGCAAAAATTATAAATAAATTTAATAAAAAACTAAAGTAATAAATAATGTTTGATTTCTATAACTTTAAATTGCTTAGTTTCGCACTAGTGTATAATAATAAAAATTTTATTAAAATTAATACTAATAAAAAACCATATTTTAAATATAATATAATAATAATTAGATGTCATAATATTAATTACTATATAAAAAATTATATTATATTAATGAATGTTTAATAAATATTTAAACATTACATAAAATATTTTAATAAAAATTATTAGTATGTATTAATATTTACACACAAGTAGTTAAAAAAACTAATTATAAAATAATAAAAATATTTTATATATTTGAGTAATTTAGTTTTTATAGATATTAAGAAATAACAAGTAATTCACTTAAATTAAAAAAAAATAATTTCTTCTCTATTTTCCTTTGTAATTACACGCTTTACCGATTGCTAAAATATATAAATATATATATTAAAAAATGCCTTATATATTGCAATTAACTCTTTAAAATAAAATAGATTTTCCCAGCTACGCCTAAAAAGGAGGTGGGTAGATACTAATTAAATATTATTAAAAATTTGGTTATTATTTTGTGGTAAATATATTTATGAATTTTTAAATTTGTTAGTAGTTTTTATTATTTATTTTAATACTTTAATATAGGCTTTTAACAAACTTTTCAGTTCCTTATTTTTAATTAAATTAGTTAAGTAATTATAGTAAATTAATTTATTTATATTTTGTTTTATTAAATATATGTTATTAGGTAATATATAATTAACTTATAGATACAGCAATTATTAGCTTTAAAATATTTTTTTTTGTTTTTGCTTTAATAAAATAAATAATCATGATAATTTTATTTAACAATATTGTGCCCCATAATTTCATATAATATATCTTCGTTTTTATTCATAAATCTAATATATGTACTACGAGGTCATTAATTATAATTATACTATAACTATAATTACATACATACATACATATATATATATATATATATATATACATTCATATAATTATATATATATAACTATAATTATATATTAATATATATAATTACTATATTCTTTTAAATAATTCCTTCAAAATTGAAATTAAAAAATACTTTCTCGATCATAACGCAAACCTATATTAATAATTTCAAGTTCAAATCTAGAACATATGGCTTAACATCATATATATTCTTCAAAACCCATCAATGTAATTTTACTTATTTTACTGCAATTATTTTACTTAGTTTTTAAATAGAACTCATTTTCGTAGTTAGTATTTGTTATTTGTTCATTACGAATATTATTTATTAGTTATAAAAAAAATATATTAATGTCTGCAGAAATTTTTTTTAAATTTTTCTTAATTTTATCTTAATTAATTCTATGATGAGAAATAAATAAAAAATATTTTTTTCATGTTTTCACCTATTATGTACCTTTTTAAAATTTTTTTAATCCAATTATGTTCTATTTTATTAAATTATTTTCTAAATTAACTAATAGACTTTAATAATTAATTAATCTAATTTAAATAATTTTTAATTTTAGTTAACAGATGTACTCTTCAATGAGTACCCACGTGTTCGTCTGGATCGAGCGCGACGTCCTGCAAAAGTACTGTGGGATGGTCCGCCAACGCTACCTGAGGAGCCTGAAGATTCTGATACATGTCCAATGGACATTGCACTTAACACGACGCTTTATAGTGAATTAGGTAAGTGAAAAAATCCTTATTTTTGTATATATTTATATTATATTATTATGTTACTTTATACTACATATATATGTGTTATATTGTATATATTATATTTATATTATATATGAATGTATATTATTATAAATTCAATTAATTTGTATTATTTTATATTATATAGCATTATATTATATTATAAGTTATTGTAATATAAAATATTATGATTCATATTAAATTGTATTTTGTATAACATTATGTGTCCCTTACAAAATTTTTTAATGGCCCTAGAAATAAAATAGAATATCTAAATAATATCTAAAGAATCTAAAGAATAATCTATCTAATCTATCTAAAGAATAAAGAATATCTGCAAGTGTGTGAGAGATTTGTATTTGACTTCAAATTCCTCAAGATCGGTCTATAACACATTTTATGCAATAAAACATTAGAATTTTAAAAAATTTTCAGTACAAATGTTAGATAGAGATTTATCCATCCATATCCGTAGTAGATGAAAATCTATTCATCTATTATAGCGTTGTGCTAAAACACAACTATGTTGGAAAACAAAATATATTTCAAACGAAAACACTTAACCACTCTCATTTGCAAATATTCATACTGAATAAAAATAATTTTAATTGCTTTAACGAAGCCCTTTTTTTTACTTTTTTACTATATTCAATTATAAATAGTAACCTATAAATTGTCGTAAATGACCACTAATACATTTATTTTTAATATAATATTGAATACATATGCATAGGTTGAATATTCCAGTCACTACTTGGACTACATAGCTAGAATTTTAAGATGATTATATCTTCTGAAGTTATTGGGTCTCATTACGCCTTATTGCATCTGAAAATAAATATTTATTTTGATCCGCTTGTATATGTTGTTGTGTTTTTAAGGTGTTATTGAGTTAATATACATCAAATAATCCATGGTTTTGTTTGTAAGCTTATACCTAGTGCTCAGGATATAATTCCTTTCTTTACGAACTCCATGGCCAGTCTCTATGTAGTTTAAGTTCAGTAACTTGAGACTACTTTGAGGGTGGAACAACTATGGCACTGTAAACATGTGTCGTCAACGTACACCAAGTTTTATTGTCGCGTTTATTAGAGATTGTGGCTGGCATCTAATGACCACTTTTGATAAACAAGATCTATTTCCTTTTCTTTCTATTTAAATATTGCTTCCCCGTTCAAATAATACTTAACTAATTACGTTAATAGTAGTTGTATTGTAATATCTCTCCACTCTAACTGACTGCACTCTAACTGTTTTCATTTGGGAACACTATCAAGCGTTCAAACTGTGCTTCAAGTAAATGTTTCTTATCATTGCTATTCTCATAATATCTTCACTTTCTTATTTTATCCGATTGTTCTCAAACTGATTTCTATTATGAACTTGTCTTTGCTATTCTCATTATATGTTCTCATAATATTTTTCTGTCCTCAAAATGATATCAAGCTGGCATTCCCATTGTCATATGTGTTCACATTTGCATTATATATTTCTGTTCTCAAATGATTGCTGCTTTGTTTTTGTCGTTAAGTTCTTGTCATTGCTATTCTCATAATATGTTCCTATTGTCATTTTATTCAATTGTTCCCAAATGATACGCAGTTGGTTTATACTATTGCTATTCTCAATTTGACATCTTCTCACTGTTCTCGAAATATTTGTCGCTATGTTCATGTCACAACTATTCTCATAATATGTGCAATATTCGTTGCATTTCACTGTTCTTAAGGGATTAGATGTTGGTTTGCGTCACTGCTATTAACAACTATTCTCATAAAGTTTTTACTAAACTATTCTATTCGTGTTTGTCATTGCTATTCTCATTTTGTGTTCTCATTATCATTTTACTTTACTGTTCTCAAAATTCTTGTCGCTGTGTGCTTGTCATTGCTATTCTCGTAATGTGTTCTCATTTTTATTTCATTTTGGTATTCTCAAAATAATTGGCGATTCGTTTGTGTCATTGCTATCTTATGCACTATTCTCATGATGTGTTCAATATTCATTTCGTTCCACTGTTCTCAAAATGATTTTCGCTTTGTTGACAAACAAATTTGGCACTCCAAACTTTAGTACCAAACACATTTGCCATATTTTAAGGTTTTGTTTTGTTTTTGCTTTTTGTTTTATTTGATTTTTCTTCCAGCATTTGCAGCATTGAGTGCACTGTAATTTTTACTTTGGAGTTTTGTAATTGGTGCTTGCATTTCATTTATTCTTTGTTGCTTTTTTTTAGTTGTTTCTTAACATAATTTTCTTATATTTATTTTTGTTTTGGCTTTTTTCTTTATAAATTTCAATGTTTCTTTTTTTTTGGAAATTTTTTTATGTTTGCAATTTTATTGCAACGCATACTTAAGCACGCACATCAATGCCTCAAGCCACCCCATATTTTTAAGCCTTTTTGTTACCAACATTTGCATTGTCAGTCGAGTACATGGAGCGGGAAGGCACTTCACTTAATGTACTTATTTAACTTTTTTCATTGTTTTATATAAAACGTTTTTATTTAAATTATCCATAAGTTGTGTTTGAATCTGTTGAAATCATTCTAATAAATTAAAGATGTTAAAGTAAGTAACCAAGAAATAAAATCAAACGACATAGCTTGAAATAAAGAAAAAAATGATCAACACTCATCAAAAATGCAATAAAATGTAAATTAATCTATCATTCTCCTTAAATGTGTGGCGAAAACAATATTGTATTGTAAAAATAAGCTCCTCACAAATTGTCGGGGTGTACTGAACAGGATTCCGTCGTAATACACTCAGTGTTGCTATTCTCATCTTATCTATTCTCATCTTTCATCTATTCTCATCTATTGTATACATCAAAATTTCACGAAGACCATGTTTATTTTGGTTGTAATCCGTAAAGATCTGCTTGTGTTGTCCATTTTAGAAGCGTTAATCGGCAGTTGGTCGTCGAACTTAACTAGTGGTTCCGGGAATTAGGCCCAGTCATACCAAGAATGTTGCTAGTCTTCTCTCTAGTATTTTATGGGACTTATTAGATATAGTCCGTCAATAAAGATGAATCTTAGATGTTTAAGCTTTCTTGTGAATAGCATCGAAATAGTTTCCATGTATAATTTTAATGTTGTCTTGAATACATCTAAATGTCTTGAAAACCAGGTTATTCTTGTTGTAATCCTCAGGGATCTACTTGTGTTGCGCTTTTTGGAAATGTTCAGTGATACTTGGTCGTCGAACTCGACTAGTGGTTGCGGAACTTTATAAAAACTCTAGTAGTAGTCTGTTGAACTTTTTTGATATGGCTATCACACAGGATTTTTTGGTTGAAACTTTTATATTTATTTGCTTTTCTATTACATCAAGAAGGATGAGTTTTAGATGTTTAAGCTTTCTTGTGAATAGCACCCATAATCGTTTTAGCTGCATTTATATTCAGTTGTACTAAGTTAACTACTTAGTAACTACTTTTTCAATAGTTTTAATTCTAAGTAAATTTCTTGATATAGGGTACTTTTAAATTTCCTTAAGTGTATTATAACTCTATCACTCACCTAGTCTACAAAGATGTAGACCATCTAATATATGTACCACTATGCTTGAAAAGTTAATAAATATATAATAAAAATATAAAAACGAATATGTGATTCCACTTAAATAAAAACCAAATTTTTTTATTAATTTTATTTCATTTTTTTAAAATTAATTTATTACATAAAATTAATTAATGTTTTTAATTTTTGATTATTAGAAATTAATTCAAAAAAATTAAATAAAATAAATAATAAATTTTTATTTTTATTTAAAAAGAATAAGATATTATAAGAATAAGATATAAATTTCGTTAAATAAATACGTTATTATAAGAAAATATATTATAATTAATATTTTTTAAAGGTGCCTTGAAACTGACAGCCTTTTTTTACCTCGATCGATGGATCTAGTAATTTATCTCCAAATTCCAATTGTCTTCCACTGCATTCTGATCTTACGCAAAAATTTCGACTACGTCACTGCGTGCTGTGCCGCTCAGCTTTGCCTGGCGCTGCTCTTCTGCATTTTTCAAGCTCAAGTTGCATTTGACTTGCTTGGCCAGCTGCCGGCGGCTATGATTTTTATTATTTTTTCACATTTTTTTCTTATTTTGCAAATACTGTTTATGTTTTATTTTTTTATATTTTTAAATATTTTTTTTTTTTACTTCAACGTCACGCATGCAAGCGCATTGAGCACAAAGACACTTTCTGTTGTGGTTTTTTGGCGGCGGTGCCAATGTTGCCCCTGCAGTGGCTGTTCGCTGATAATGACAGTGACTGCGTCCAAATAATTCGAGTAAGAAAAAAAATCAAGATTTACACTAAAATTTCGTATTAAACAAATTATTTACTCTTATTTATTTTATTTGTTCATTTTAGTGGTTTTTGTGAAGCAATGAATTGAGTTCATTATAAGTTTAAATTTTAATACTGATTTTTGTTAAATAATTAATTTTATATGGAATTCATTTATAAATATTATATATTTTTTTTGATATAACTTAATAATTAATATACCATCCGATTTATAATATTATTAATGTTGTTATTTATTTGAGGATTTCCCACTGCGACCTAGAGATCAATTTTGCCATCTCTATGGATTCAGAGTATTCTTTCAAATCCAAATATTAGTTTAAGGGGTTTTGCAATCCGACCTGCAGATTTATTTGGCCACTTCGTGGATTTGAACGATTCTTCCAAGTCCAAGTATAAGATTAGCGGATCTTGGACTACAACCTAGAGGTTTAGCAACCCCCTACATAGAATCTAATTAATCCTTCAAGAATTCAAACTGTTCTTCCAAGTCTAAGTATTAGTTTTGGAGGTTTTGCAATGCTACTTAAAGATCTATTGCTCCCTTCGTAAAATCAAACAATTCTTCCAAGTCTAAGCATATTTCGGGCATTTTGCATTGCGATGCAGAAATCGAACTCCTTGAAATCGAATTGTTCTTTCAAGTCCAAGTATAAATTTAAAGGA